TTAAGATTTGCTCTGACAGGATAATTGAATCAGTGAGTTCTGATTCTGAGTTCTTAAACTATAAACTAAAATGAATAAAAATGGTTATTTATATATATATATATATATATATATATAAATAACCATTTTTATTCATTTTAGTTTATAGTTTAAGAACTCAGAATCAGAACTCACTGATTCAATGATCCTGTCAGAGCAAATCTTAAGTTAAGAACTCACTTAAGTAACTTCATCTGATACTGAGTTTAATATTCAAATTAGTATTTTGAATATTAATATGCAATATTATTAGCATTATTGCTTGCTTAATTGTGGATTATATGTATACTATGTATGCATCCACAAAAGTTTTTTTTCTAATGTATTTTTTTGATGTCTGGCTAGTACTTTTACTTACGTAATATTTCATCAGGGTATACGTATATTAACTTAGTATTTGTGTACTTTATTCACCTCTGATGATAGACATGAGTGTGCATGACTTTGCAAACACACTTTGCTTTGAAGCTAATAAATCAAAAGCCATTTGCAGCTCTGAGGCCCAAGGACAGACAGGTGAGGGAGGGACTTGGCCCCAATCCAGCTGGAAATTCCCTTGTTTTGTTTACATGTACCAAGGACAATTCGGGAGGCATTTCAACCTCTTGTTAAACGACAACAAAGAAGGAGGAAGTTCTAGCTTTTTTTGGCCCTGCTATTCAAAGGGCCCTTATGCTCTTGTGTTATTCAGCTAAACACAACCTGATCACGCTTTTGAAGGTGAGCCAGGTGTGGTCAAGTTTTGTTTGAAGCTCTATCATATGCCTGTAACAAATGCTTAGATATCCCTTAAGACGGAAACGTCAAGCATTTTTTTAACTGTCCTGGGATGAATTCATAGAATTGGTAGACAATAAAGTTGTTTTTGTACAATGCTCTGACAGAAAGAACGTAGTATGTTCAGTTCTTAGCCAGAACTTGTCAGGCTATCTGTGAACACAATGCTTTATCTCATGGTTGCATGCTTTGCTCTTATACTTCCTGTACATTCATGACTGCACATAACTCGGCTCTTCACTTAATCTGATATGTAGAGTTTCTGGCAGGATCACTTACAATGATATATCTGTTTGCTATAAATGTCACCCGCCGGGCCTTGTGATTTTCCAGAAACAATCTTGAGTTTAAAGGTGAAATATGTAGTTTCTGTGCCACTAGCATCACCGAACGGAAATGCAAAAATAACGATTGTTTCTCAAACAGACGATTCCTCAGCTGTTATAGAAAGCTAAAATCTGGATGTAATCCTCCTCCGCTTGGTTTGATACTGTTATTTTAATATTATTTATATACTGTTATAGCATTTATTAATATTTTGAATTAACTTTTATTTTTATATTTTTAGTAATTTTTATGCGCTTTTAACATTTTTATTAGTTTTTTTTAATTATTGAGATTTATTTTAAAAATATTATTACATTTTAAAATAACTTTTTTGAAACTTAGTTGTAATTTTAGTACTTCAGCTTAAATTTATTTGTTTAAATGTTATTAAATGTGCTTAAAATGTATTTATTTTACTTAGTTGTCCAGGCAACATTTCTAATTTCCATATATGTGTAAGTTTGTCATCTAATATTTACATTTTATTTCAGATATTTGAATGATTATTAATGGTTGTAGTTAACAACACTGGTTTGATATTACGTCTGTTTATTCTAAGAACTAATGGTAATGTTTTCAATTCGGCATAAAGGTTTTCTGTTGTCCTCTGTCTTGTGCAACACCGGTTGCTTTTCTCTTGTGCAATGTGCTGCACAACACCAAAGTGAGGAAATGTATATAGAAGCCCCATACATCCAGGCAACAGTATGTTCCTCTTGAAATTGAAACTGTGACTAGTTTTAGCATCAGAACAGACAACATGGAAAATATTGCAGTGTTTGTCTATGTATCTAAATTACAACAATGTGTGCTGTATATAGTCATGATTTTGAGAATAACCAATTGTTTGTGTTCTGTACAGGAGCTTAAAGGCTTTAAGAGTTTTGTGAAGCAGAGACCCCCCTTTGATATTGTCATTGACGGTCTTAATGTGGCTAACACAACACCCAAGGCCGCCCACTCTGAGACGGTGAGTGATGGTAACTTCAATGCTTGGACGTTCCAAGAGAGGGCTGGTTTGTCTGTGACCTTTTAAATCACTGATCTGGCTAGATGGTCAACCTACTCTGATTGAAAGGTGGAAAAAATAGCCAAAAATGTGAGTATTCAACCAGTTGGCATTCTAAAGTAAAAAAAAACGCATAAAAACAAGTGTGGCAGAGGTTCCACCAGGGGGTGATGCTAAGCATGGCTGCTTTTAATACAGCAGAACAGGTTTAGGGAACAGCCCCAATTTCTCATAGTTTCCAACCTGAAAGACACCCCAAACCCATGAAACCCACAGTTACTCAAATGAAAAATTAGGGAAAGTTCAATGTCCATGTAATGTTACACAGAACGTGTAACACATCAGCCCACCTACGAGGTGGTGTCAGACCCAGACAGAAGTGGCTTTACATTTGGTTATGCTCCATTATAGTACATAAGGGATTTTTTTTTGCCAACAAATAGGCTAATATTTTTAGATAATTACCCACACCCACTCATCTCATCCTCAACCACCCATTAACCGAAAACCAATTACTTTTCAATGACTTTCAATGACCCAGGAGGACCATTTGAGCAACATTAAAGGGATAGCTCACCCAAAAATTCAAATTCTGTCATAATTTACTCACCCTCCACTTGTTCCAAACATGTATAAGTTTCTTTCATCTGTTGAACACAAAAGAATATATTTTAAAGTATGTTGGTGACCAAAAAATTGGCGGTAGCCATTGACTTCCATAGTATTTTTATCCATACTATGGAAGTCAATGGCTACTATCAACTGTTTGGTTACCAAGATTCTTCAAAATATCTTCTTTTGAAACTCGCACAGGTTTGGAACAACTTTATGGTAAGTAAATTAAGAATTTTCATTTTTGGGTGAACTATCCCTTTAAGGCAAGATACTGATTTTCGCAAGATTTTCGTTTAATTTAGTTGACATCTGAGCGGATTTTTGGATATCTGTTTTTATCATTCTATAAATCAGAAAATACTGTCAACAGCTAGAAAAAAAAAATCAATTTTCACCATGTTTTTAGAAATAAAATGTATATTATAAATCAGGCGAATGATGCAGGAACAAATTCCTTGGTAAAAACCTTGTATATATACAGTATAAAGTATTCCTATCTACAGTATATCTTCAGAATATACTGTAGAGAGGAATAAAATTGGTAAGTTTGGTGTAAATAAGAGCTACTGAAGGGGAGATTTCTGGCTTGGTGCATGAGAAGGAACTCATTTGGAGAAAACGGCCTTTAAACGCAGTGTATTATACAGTAATTGAAATCTACAGGCACGAATAGATAAAGTGCAATAAAATTAACACTTAAATGTGTATTTAACATGTTTTCTTTCCACTAGACTGAAAGAAGACAAGTTATGGAAGCAAAATAGACTAAAGTCAAAAAATAGACCAGTGCATAAAAAAAGCTATGTTTTTTTCCTGCAGTGTCTTACTTCAACAGATATGAGAGCACCTAATACTCCACTTGACATTAAACTACAAATGATTATGTAACACAAACTCCCTTGACCTTCGATCAGATCCTTTTGCTTTCTGCACACTCATCCATGGCTTCCATCAGCATGTCACACAGTCACACATTATTAACACAGATGCAACCCATAGCAATTAAACACGGAGGCTGGGGATTTTACACTCATTTTGCAATGACTAACCATGTATTTTAAGTCATACATGTGCATTTTGTGGTCAAGTTTATTTTTGGTGGTAACATTTACCCCACTTCCTCGCTAACTGGCGCATTTATTGAAATGCCAGTATTAACTGGTTTTGTCTGCACACAGTCTGTGAAGGGTGTGAAAATGAAGGCCTAAGTGAACTTGTGGCCAAAGTTGGCCTATATGGTTTGTTAAGGCTAAGTAAACAGACTGTATGCAGGAAAGTGATTGTAAATTTACAAGACTTACATGCTGGAAGGAAGTGCATCTCTTTAGAAATTCTTAAGCAAAGGAGACAGGAAGCAGAGGTTAAGTTTGGATTGTGAGACATGGCGCTATAGTGTGTACGGTGCTTTCCAGAGTAAAACAGCCCATCTGTGGCTCACCGTTCACTTCCTTATCATGAATTAGCAGAAAATGAGCACACCTGCAATTCCACATTTAGCACTTCCTCATGTCTGAAATAGCAAAATGAGGGATACAAGATAAACTGGAATTCACTGGGACTGACTTTGCATATTCAAACTGTAGATGACATTACGGTAATCTAAGTTTGAGTGAGAAATATAATTAGAAGGTTAATACAAAGCAGTTGGTTAATGCAATAAAGTATACAATAAAGTATGCATGCATGCATGTGTATGTATATATATATATATATATTTGGAAAAAATTGAAAAAGCACGTGTATGTATATATACTGTTATTATAACTAAAGAAATATACAGTTTAACTCTATTACATGTATTTTTACTAATTGCATCTATTTTAACCGACTGGTTCCAAAGTGAATGTTAGTCGATGTATGAAGTATATCTCTTTTTTTTCTTCTTTTTTTTGTAAAAGTAAGCTTTATTTAAAAGAATATTGTTTTATTATATTACTATATTTAAAAAAATTAAATAATATTTTATTATGTATTTAATTTAATACTTAATATTAAAAATAAAATTACTTAAAATGTAATTGTTATTATGCATACTGTTCTATAGCTTGTGTACTAATTTACATATTGTGAATAAAAAATCGAATCTGTAATTCCTGGAAGTAAGAGTAAGACAAACAAATACCTACACACTATATTAAAAATAATTAGGCCTGTCTCATGAATAGTTAATGCAAGTATATGGGGTGTTAAATCTGAACATCTACATACAAAGAACCTTGGATATTTTTAGCACACGGTTGTAACCTTTACTGTCTGCACTTTGTATGGGGGGTATTGGAAAAACAACTTCCTGTGTAATCAGGAAACTCCCCCCTCATGGTGTGCGCGTGAGTGGGTGGTACAAAAGTAGGTTAAAACATTGTGAGCAAGAATAATTTCCCTCCAGCTGACCTGCTAAAGTCCCAAATTCATCTGTAATGCCAAGGGAAATTCCTCCAAAAAAAGTCATGAGCTGCAGCTCACTTCATAGAGAACATGCTGAATGAACTGAGGTCTCTCATTCAAGATTCAAAAATCATGAATGACCTCATTCATATTTAACATCTAAATAGAAATGGTAAAAGGTCACTGAGAGTGTGAATTATCTCCGCAGTTGCTGGCAGTCGTATCGGAGCTGCAACAGCAGGGTCTGAACATCCTGGTCCTTGGCAGAAAGCACATGCTACAACCTTCCCGGAACTGGGACAGACAAAACATGAGCAAGATCAAGCAGAAAGCCCACTGTTTCTTCACCGAGAACATGTTAGTATGACCCCCCTTTCCTCAATCACCTACTGCACGCGCTGTTCCAAAACCTAGTGAGCTGCCTACATAGGCAGCATTTGAACGGCTCACAGGCACGACTGCAAAATGAAGGCTGTTCCAAAACATTTGAGACATGATTATTCTGCCTTTTTTGGTTAAATTCTGTGCTTTGTGGAGGCAACAATCCCATAATGCATTGCAACAAGCTCAATAAACAACTCATCCAGGATTGGTCTGGATGAAAATAGTTCAATCTGGAATATATTTCTTATTTTTATGTTGAATATTAGTTTAGCAACATACTCTATTAAAATGAACTTTGCATGTGTTACACTGGGCCGAAATTTGGAATAATTAAGATTTTTATGTTTTTGATTTTAATGAAAGATGCTCACCATTTATTTGATCAAAACTACAGTATAAACAGTAATATTGTGAAATATTATTACAAATGAAAAGAACTGTTTTCTATTTGAATATATATTAAAATGAAATTAATTCTGTGAATTTTAAGCTGAAATTAAAGCTGAATTTTCAGCATCATTACACCAGTAATGGTGTAATTCCCTTCTCACATGATCCCTCAGAAGTCATTCTAATATTTTGTGGAAACCATGATCACCATTCATATGTTTGGGATAAGTAGGAAAGAAAATAAATCAAATCAGTACTTTTATTCAGTACACATGCATTTAATTGATCAAAAATGACAGTACAGACATTTATAATGTTGCAAAAGATTTCTATTTCAAATCAATGCAGTTCATTGAACTTTGTAGTCATCAGAGAATCCTGAAAAGAATTATCAAGGTTTCCACAAAATAATATTAAGTGGCAAAAACGAGTTTTAACATTGATAATAAGAACCATTATTATAAAAAGAACCATTAATAATTAAGCACCAATAATTAATAATATTCGGCATATTAAAATGATTTCTGAAGGATCATGTGACACTGAAGACTGGAGTAATGATGCTGAAAATTCAGCTTTGAAATTGCAGTAATACATTACAACTAAAATATATTCAAACAGAAAACAGTTCTTTTAAATTGTAATAATATTTCACAATATTAATGCTTTTACTGTTACTGTATTTTATACTGTAGCTTGGTAAGCATAAGAGACTTCTTTCAAAAACATTTTAAAAATCCTAACATTTGAGACCAGTAGACTGTGTGTGTGTGTGTGTGTGTGTGTGTGCGTGCGTGCGTGTGTGTGTGTGTGTGTGCGTGTGTGTGTAAAATGATGTACAGACATGCTGCCTATATATAGTTATCATGATATCATAGAGGCCTCAATGTGTTATGTTACAGTTGCAACATTCAAATGTGTTAGTGAGTAGCATATATCGATCACTTCCCTTCTCTGCATAAGTCAATATAAACCCATAAGGATTTCATTCACCAAGCATGAAAGGTATTTTTGATAGAGTGCACTGTGTTTCTTGGATGGCTGCCACAGATCTGAGGATGACCCGTTTCTGCTGTATGCTGCTTTGCACTCTGGCGTTCACTGCAACTTTCTTAGTCGTGATCTGATGAGAGATCACAAAGCCTGCTTGCCAGACAGTGCAACCAGACGCCTCTTCTTCAAGTGGCAACGTGGCCATCAGCTGGTGATCAGTCATTACGTCCCAGGAAAAAGAGTTCGATTTCAGGTAGGTTTAGGAATGGAGAGATCTTATGTAAACAAGATTACTCTTAAGGACTAAAACCCTCATTACGATGACTGTTGGCTTTGCTGTGTGTTTTTCAGAGGATCTCAGCATATGACACCATCGTTCAGACCTCTGGCAGCTCCTGGCACATTCCATATGATGAGAATAGAGGAGATAGAGCCACATATGAAGTTCCTCAGAAATGGCTCTGCCTCACTCAAGACCATTGAGGCTGGAGTTACTACTAGTGTGCTTGCTGAGAAATATCACATATATATATATATATATATACACACACACATATATACACACATATATATATATGTGTGTGTATATATATATGTACATTTGTATGTTATTTTTATTTAATATTTTAAATATGATAAATATTAATAAGATTTTCGTAACATAAGCAACATCTACTTTGATATTATTTTATAACCAGTGCAGTTGTGGGAAATGTAATGTTGACTGCTGCTTATATAATCCTATAAAAAAAACAAATCCTCTGAGGCCCATATTTTTAAGGCACAAGGGCTATATCTATAACTATAAGGCTGTGAGTCTAAAGTCCATTTGCATAAATGTTTTATTTTTCACTAGCTTAGGTTAGCCATGTAGGTTTTTAGTTAATGGCAAACATTAAGGCAAGTTCAGCTATAGTATAAAGGCAGATTTTAACTGACAATTTGTGTTTTCAGATGTTTTTCATAACTGTCAAGTGGTGGCAAATTATAAACAGTAATATAACATGCTCTTTGGTGCACTTTAGTTATCCTAGTTTTGGAAAGATCTCATTATTTGTATGTAACTGTTTGTCCATGCAGCTCTTGACCTCCAAAAAATAACCCTGTGTTTGCCTTCCCTACATCAGCAGTCCTGAAAACACTCATAATATTGCTTTTATGTAAAGTGTTTGCTTGCACTATTGCTAGCACAGATTTGGAGTGTCGCAAAATGTACATCTCCTTGGACCAAAGATCAGAGCACAAATGTTTGTTTTGCATAACATTTCAAAGACTGACTAAACCAATTCTGCATTTAGAAGTAGAAGGTTTACACTCCCTTATGAAAATCTCAAAACTCATGACAGAAATTAACTACTCCATTAAAGGGCAATTTTTGGATTTGGAAATGTATACCTTACCATAAAAAAATGTGTCAAATACTTACATTTAATCAGTTAATTAACATGAATTCTCAATGCGAATAATTAGATTAAAAATTCATTAGGCCTACCTATAAAATTAAATATATGAATTGGGTAAAATTATACTAAAACAATGTAATGACCTAGTTTTTGTAAATATTGTACTCTTTGCAGAAGGTTTGTATTATATAAACATCAACTAAATCCCAAATAACTAGAAATGTTTTTTCACTGTGCTTCTCACGCACAGGCGACGCGTGATGACATCTCACCTGGATATGAATGCTGGAGCCGGTGTTGTCATTTCCGGTGTGCAACAGAGTAGTGTGGTTAGATCTGTTTACAAACTTCAATATTAAACAGTAAATCTCTCGCATTATGTCCCGAGGCTCGAGCGCGGGGTTTGATCGACATATCACCATCTTTTCTCCTGAGGGGAGACTCTATCAAGTCGGTGCGTATCGATTAAAGTGTGTCTTTATTATACCGAAAGAATAAATGCCCAGTCATTTTGCACCAGGATAATTCTGCACATTCTCTGGCTCAGACTAATGTCTTTACGGCAGCACTAAACATTAATTTGATTAAAACGGATGCAAAAAAAAGTATGAGCGGAATGTTTTGACATTCATATGTTCTCGTTTCAGATTTATGTTACATGACAGAGCCATCTAAACTCATTGTTTACATCAGTATGGATAAAAGCACTTTCGGTTTCATGTTTATAATTATGAATATTATGCATGCAGATATTTATTCAGTTTTGTTCACGTTTCACTTGTGCAGCTCATTCGTTCTCTTTTACAAGTCATTACAATTTCTGAAGTATTTTCATCTATATGCTCTGTATTCCATGCATATATATATATATATATATATATATATACACAATAATATAATTGTAAAATATTTTATATGTATGGTTACAAATTCTCTGGTATATTAATAAAATACCATTAATAAAATAATAAAATATCTGGTTGTCAAAATTGAGTGGGTTACAATTTTTGTATTTTATGAACAATTAATGATCATAGTTAACATGTTAATTTTATTTTCCACAGAATATGCATTCAAGGCCATTAATCAGGGAGGTCTTACATCACTAGCTGTTCGAGGGAAAGACTGTGCGGTTGTTATTACTCAAAAGAAAGTTCCAGTAAGTTTGTTTTTGCTTTGTTTTTTGTCAACCACACTGCTAAATATAGACTGAATTTGTATTTAATTTAACTGCAACTTGTTCTTGTTCCACATTAACATTTTAACTATACAGAAATGTTTCAGTGACTCAGTAGCAGTTGTATGAGCTCTTATTACGTTTTCCTCTTTTAATCACTCAGGATAAGCTTCTGGATGCGTCCACTGTCTCTCATTTATTCAGAATAACAGAAAACATTGGCTGTGTGATGTCTGGCATGACAGGTAAACTCATCTTTGCACACAGCAACTGTCCAGCTTAAGTGGATTTTAGAATATCTCCTCCGTCTCTTTTGTATGGTGAAATGTAAAACTATGTATTGTTTTACACCACATGTGATGTATTATGTTTCTCTATGAAGCTGACAGCAGGTCGCAGGTGCAGAGGGCGCGATACGAAGCTGCTAACTGGAAGTATAAATACGGCTATGAGATCCCAGTAGACATGCTGTGCAAGCGCATTGCAGACATCTCACAGGTGTACACACAGAACGCAGAGATGAGGCCACTGGGCTGCTGTAAGTATGTGCTCTGATTGAGGCGGTATGAATGGAATCAAGTTACATTTATTTGTATAGAGGTTTATACAATATACAGCTACACATAAATAAACAGGAAAAAACTTGCAAAGTTCATCATTTATGTTCAATAGCATGCAAAGTTAAAAAATTGTGAAATGACTTCAAAAGCAGCTCTACAGAAAACTAGACTTACAGTACATTAACATTAACAGTATTAGTGTCTAGAATATTAGTATACATATTAAAGTAGTTAACATACTACATATAATGCAGTATATACTGTAGAATGTGATACAATCTGTAGTATGCGAAAATAAGTATTTAAAGCGTGGTTTGTTAAAATGTTTTCATATGGCCTCAGAGCAAGAGATGTGTAGTTATCAGCTCAAATATCAATTTTTGCTATGTTTAATCCAATTTGTGTGTGTAAAACACCCAAACTTTTAATAGATGAGCCTAGAAATAGACAATACCTAATAATATTAAGTCTAACGCATTGCATTGTGCAATACAACTTTTACATAGCATTTGCATGCATTTATTTACATATGTCCTGTATGTCAACCACCAAACCATAATCTATAAATGGTAAAAAAATCCCCACTTGGTGCCAGCAGTTGCCAGTACTAGGCTGGTGCTGTCATACTATCTAAATACATTACTGTTCAAATGATTGAGGTCAGTAAGATATATATATTTTTTAAGAAATCGATAGTTTAATTTACCAAGGATGCATTAAATTGTGACAGTAAAGATATTAAGAATGTTACAAAAGATTTCTTTCAAATAAATGTTCTTTTGATCTTTCTATTCACCAAAGAATCCTGAGCACAGTTTCCACAAAAATATTAAGCATATCAACATAAGAAGAAAGCAGTATTAAATGTACTGTTCTCTGGTTGTGCAGTTCATATTTTGGAACATTTAGAAGGAAATCCATGTATTTTGAAGCATGCAAACAATATGCACACTTTTCAATTAAATGTATAGTAGGTCTGTACATAACAGAATTCCATATTAAGGAATGTTATCGTTATATCATTATATCATCTTCATATGGCATCAATGCCAAAGCATGTTTGTCAGTATTGTGTATTGTTCTGTCAGGTATGATTGTGGTTGGCGTGGATGAGGAGCTGGGGCCGCAGGTCTATAAATGTGATCCTGCAGGTTATTACTGCGGCTTCAAGGCTACTGCTGCAGGGGTGAAACAAACAGAAGCCACAAGCTTCCTGGAGAAAAAGGTGAAGAAGAAATTGGACTGGACTTTTGACCAAACAGTAGAGGTATGGATACGTTCACCCCAAATGGAATTAATACCCGTTGTTTTAGTTGTATCCTCTCACATGGGAGTTTTTTTGTGTGCACTTTTCATCCCCACAGACTGCAATAAGTTGCCTGTCTACCGTTCTGGCCATCGACTTCAAGCCTTCAGAGCTGGAGATCGGGGTTGTTACCACAGAGGAGCCCAAGTTCAGGTGAATTTGGACATTTCAAATAGAACAGGATGTAATATTTACATATCACTACATAGCATTTACATATGTCCTGTATGTCAACCACCCAACCGTACTCTATAAACGCTGAAAAATCCCCACTAGGCACTAGCAGTTACTAGAACTACTAGGCTGTACTTTCATACTATCGACATACACTACCGTTCAAACGTTATTTGGACATTTATAAGCAAGGGCAAATTAATTTGATCATAAGTGACAGTAAAGGCATTTATAATGTTCTAAAAGATTTTCATTTCAAATAAATGCTGTTCTTTTAATCTTTCTATTCATCAAAGAATCCTCGGGAAAAAAAAATCGATCATGGTTTCGGCTAAAATATTAAGCAGCACACCTGTTTTCAACATTGATAATAAGAAGAAATGTTTCATAAGCCACCAAATCAGCATATTAGAATGATTTCTGAAGGACCATGTGGCACTGAAGACTGGAGTAATGATGCTGAAAATTCAGCTTTGCATTACAGGAATAAATTAGATTTTAAAATCCATTACAATATGTTTTGTAAAAAATGCAGACTTGGTGATCATAAGTTACTTCCCTCAAAAACATTTTTAGAAATCGGTAACAAATTCTATGAAGCCCATTTTTATAACACATTATAAGGGTATTCTTAAGGCATTATAATGAATGTATAATGCATTATAAAATACATTTATATGTTGTTTCATCTCATAAATAATCATAACAACAATTATAATACATTATAAAACTTACTTATTTGTGGTTATGACTTTTATGAGTATGATTATTTATAACACGCAATAAACACCATGTTAAATCCACTTAATTTACGTATAATGGATTATAAGTCTCATATCTTGACATTATTTATTTAAGATCTGCACAGTGTCTTTCTGATATTAC